ACACAGAACAGGGCTCAGGTGTCCCTGGCTGCGTCCACCCAACTTTCATGGCAGCCTGCCCATTCTTCCTGACACTCGTTTGTTCCCTGGGCAAATGCACATGTGCACTGCAGACAGAGGTGCACAGGTTCCAGACACAAGTACACTCCCAGAAGTGCACACCGGCACATGGACAGGGACACTTAACGTGACACCTCGGAGCCATGGTGATGCAGTGCGGCTTGTGTCACGGCCTGGTGTCCAATGAGCAAGGCTTTGTTTGTGCGCCTTACTCAGCTCAGACACAATGGGGTGTGGTGAGCAGCGGCGACAGTGTCCAGTAGGATGCATCCATGGCTGAGGACAGTGCAGGCTTGTGCTTGCTGTTCCACTGACAGGCGCCTCACCCTTGAGTCCCTGAAGGGAGGAACTCAGGGGCCCCAGTTGCACGCCGAGGCCTTTTGGGAAAAGGTTGGAAAAGCTATTTCACGAGCATCAAGGGCTTAGGCTGGGAGGACTGGAACCTCCAGCCACTTCAAAAGCCCTGAAAGTTGCATTTGAGGAGCCTTCAGAGGGTGGGAGGAGCAACCTCTGCCTCCCTGTGCCACGGTGTCCTCAGCTGGGGCCTCGGCTGCCCTTCCCCTGGCTGGGTGCCTGTGTATCCCTCGGGAGAGTAGAGGAGCACTGAGGATAACTGGGAGCCTGCGGACTTGCTGGGCGGCGGGGTGGCTGTGGCCTAGAGCACACAGGGACAGTCACAGCCACACTGTGGTCAGGGCCTCCCTGCAGAAATCTCTCCCTGCCCCATGTCTGCCATGGGCCCCAAGATGCCTGGCATTGCTGAGGTCCCTGATTCTGTGTGGAGCTGGCCAGGGTTGGCCGGGAGGTGCAGGGTCCTTGTGTGGCCTGGTGCCAGCACAGTGCCCTCAGTCTTCCCAGCCAAGGCCTCGTGTGCTGGGCTTTGAACATTTTAAAGTGAGTGTCCATTTGCTGTGCCTCTGGTCATACCACGCTATTTCACACAGGAGATGGCCCAGAGAAGGGTGATCACTTGCTCTCGGTCATACAGCCCAACAGTAGCTAAGACCGTCTCCTACCTGCCCCAGAAAGGTGGCCACTCTTGTCACACTGCCTGTTCTGAGCTACGGGCACTGTTATCCTCAGTGGCTCTGGCAAGGTTGGTTTGAGGTCATTTGGTTCTCTCTCTCCTCACGCCTCTCTCCACTCTGCTGTGAGCATGCTCCCCACAGAGCTTGGTTAGGCAGGCCCTGACACCTGGGACTGCAGCTGTCATAGCTCCATTCCCTCCCACTGCTGATAGAAGCAGAGATGTGGGCAGAGGAGGTGGCCTGCAGCACTGCTCCTTCCCCACTGGGTTTCCCCAGCTCTATCCCAGTCTCACCTATTGGCTCCCAAGCTGTGTGCTGAGCCCGCGGGGCCTGTGTGCCCCTTCTGAATCGTTGGGACCTGAGCCAGCAGTCATTCTAGGGCTGAAGGCCTGACATACAAAACCTGGGAACTGCCAGCCGCCCAGTTCCTCACCATGTGGAGAGAACTAGGTTTCAGTGGAGCAAAAGGAGCTGACTCTCCCAGAGCAGAACTGGGGTCCCAGCACGAAGACATCAAGCTGAGCTTTGAGGTGGCCTTTAGAGAGACATCTTCCATGGTTCAGGGTCCTAAGTTCTGGGCTTTCTTGTGAGGAGCGTGAAGCCCAGCTGCCCGAGGGTGGCCCTGTCCTGGACTGTGAAGCAGCTCTGTGGTGAGAGCTTGCATGGCACGTGTGAGCCCAAGTGCCACCTCAGCAGTGCAAAAATACCCTGAACTCACCAGAAAGACTGAGACAACAAACCCCTCCTCTGCCTGCCTGTCGGATACTTGCTCACAGCCCTGCAGGGGCAAACACACCCACTCTGTCTTTGCTAACTTTCTGTCACCGAGACAGAATAGCTGGCATTTGTGATTTGGCTTCAGAGGATTCAGCCCATGGGCAGCTGGCGCCAATGCTGAAAGAGCATGGTGGAAAGCACCTGGCAGAGGACTGCTCCTCACCCCACGGTGGCCAGAAAGCACAGAACTGAGGAACTGGGGACAGAGTCCACCCTTCCAGGTCACACCTCTAGCAGCCCACTCTCCTGCCCAGACCACACCTCCAAATATGGCACTTCTGGGGTGGCAGTTTGGATTTACACCGTAACACACTCCCAACTAGAGGCTGCCCTACTGTCCTTCCCTGGTGCCCAGCCTCCCTCACCTGCCCCACCTGGTAGGGAACCAGCCCACTCTACCACCTTGGCCTTATTTTTCTTTTTTTGAGAGCATTATTGTTTCTTGACATAGGTTTCCCGTGTTGGCGATCCTCTCCCTCATTCTCCTAAGGTCAGGACTGCAGGTGGCACCCATGCCTGGCTCCCTTTGGCCTCATCTGTGCCTGCGCCCCTGCTGCTCCTGGAGCTTGTACCTCATGGTGCCTGAGCTCAGCAGCCCTCGTACTCTCCCTGCTCTGACTTCTCTTGCTTGATTCCTTCTCTCCTTGCCTCATTCAGAAGCCCCTTCAGAGGTCCCTTCTCCAGCAGTGACACACAGAACCCCTACCTTGCATCAGAGGTGCAGCTTACGTGGGAGTCCTCCCTTCTGCTGGCTCTGCGAAGTGCATGGGAGAGGGTGGTCAGTGCGTGTTGTCAGAAAAGCTTTCCTTGCAGCTGCTAAGGGGCCTCTGGAAAGTCCTGGCTGGATGCAGTGTGGCACAGCAGATACCTGGGTACAGACATTCCTGGGTCCTCATGTTGGGGAGAGGCCAAGGGCAGCTGCGTTGGAGCCTGAGCCCAGCTGTACCACGACTAGATCTGTGATCTCAAGCCCATTTCTGTTCCTCAGTTTCTTCGTTTGTAAAATGAGCGGGTAACTCACAGGATGGCACCAAGTGAGGCACCAAGTGGGAGCCTTAGTGCCCCAACTCTGAGATGTGAACCCTCAGGCTTGCTGCTCAACCTCTCTGTGTCCATTTACCATTTGCAGAAGGAGAAAACGGTCCCACCTTATGAACAAGGTAGACAGTGAAACTTGCCAATCTCTGTACAGAGCTGAGGGCATCAGCACGTGCGGCCCCTCCTGCCCATGTCCAGGGCACAAATCCAGCAGTACAGTCCCAAGCCCCGGGGCCACTGCACGCTCAGTGTGGTATGAGTCCCACTGGCCAGTGTCCTGCCCAGGACCAAGCAGCACCACACGACACTGAAGCTCATGCCACTGAGGTGTGCAAGCGCATCCTGGGCATCTCAGGTCACCACTGAGGTGGAACTGTGGGCAGTTCCTCTTGGGCAGAGCGCCTGTCTGTGACTTTGTTCCTGTTCCATATTCTTCCTTTTGCTTTTGTCTTAATAACTAAGCATTAAAAACCAACCAACCACCCATCCAACCACCCACCATCCTTACATCCTGAAAGGGCCTCACTAAGCAGCTGCCCCTAGCCTGGCCCCACAGTGGCCCTGTGCCCCTGCCCCCATATCAAGGCCCTGGAGGACACGTCACCTCTGTACCCCAGAGGGGCCCACTAACCATCCACGTGGGACCGGTAGCTAGGAGGTATCATACTTGTGACTGGGTGCCAGCAAAGAACTAAAGTGTTGGTTATTTCCTATAAAAGATTCTCAGTATCACGCCAGGCATGGTGGTACACACCTATAATCCCAGCACTCAGGGGGCTGAGGCAGGAGGATTGTTTCAAGTTCGAGGCCAGCTTGGACTATGAAGTGAGCTCAAAGGCCAGCCTGAATTGCATAGTGAGACCCTGTCTCAGACAAAAAAAAAGATTTTCAGTATCAAAAAGCAGCAGCTCAGACCTGTCCTGACACTACCCTTCTAGCACTTCCAATGGCAGAGACAGAGGTCTCTGCCAGCCTGCCATAGAGGGTGGCACAGGCAGGTGCACAAGTGCTGTTTCAGCCACCAGGGCTTCACCTTTGTATGTGTCTGGGCAGAGAGGCTGAGTAATCTGCGTCTAGCCTGAATCCTCCTGGTATGTCTGTCCGATGATCCACACCCAGCATGGCACCTGGCTCCAGGCCCCCTCTTAAAAGAGCCCAAGCCTATGTCTGAGTCAAAACACATCTTTTGAGGCTTAGAAGCGGGTACCCAAGTCCTTCAGCCTGGGTCCCTCCTGGCGCCAGCAGTGCTCTCTCCAAACCTTGGCTCCACCCTTGGCTCTCAGCACTGACCACAGATGCTGCTGTTTCACACAGACCAGCCCTGCTCTTCCAGTTGTAATGCTGCCACCTCTTAAAGCTTCTAGAGATGCCGGCTGAGCTGCCCCAGCTGCCCTGACCACAGAGCCTACTATTAAAAAGTCCAGCTGAGTGTGTTGCCACACACCTGTAATCCCAGCACTCAGGAGGCTGAGGCAGGAGGATTGTTGCGAGTTCGAGGCCAGCCTGGGCTACAAAGTGAGCTCAAGGCCAGCCTGAACTGCATAGTGAGACCCTGTCTCAAACACACACACACACCCTCCAAACAACAAATCCAGATTATGTAGGATCCTAAAGAACTGGTCTGTAGCTGAGCATGATGGTGCATACCTATAATCCCAGAGCTCTAGGAGGCTGAGGGAGGAGGATCTCAAGTTTCAGGGTGGCCTGGGCAACTTAACAAGACCCTATTTCAAACTAAAACATAAAAAAGGTTGGAGGTATAGTTCACGTCTAAAACCCTGGGTTTAATTCCCAGTATTGTAAACAAACAAAGAACCCCAAGTCTTTGCCCAGACGCTGTGCTTTCTCCCACTGTCTGGCCCAGCAGGTGCCAAGGAGATATCCTGGGGCTCGGGCCTGTCACGACACGGTGACTCACTGGAGCCAGTCTTGGTGACCAGGCCACATACTGAACACTCCGTTACCAGCAGATAAGCACGACCAAGTGCTCTGGGAAGGATGGGAGTGCCAGGGAAGCCAGGGACAGGGAGCAGCCACTTTGCCCCATCAACCTGAAGGCGCTCTCGCAGTGGAGGAGTCAGCAAAGCAACTGAGGCCTGCCATGTGAAGAGGTAGAGGTTTATTGAAATATAAACATTCAAACATGTAAGATAGAAAAGAACCACGACATATACAGACACTTGCTGCGAGGACGTCTGAGGTATGTACTCACTGCCTAGGCTACCTGTGTGCTACCACACTGCTGCTGGAATACAAAGAAGATGGAAAGGGAGACAAAGCACCCCCAGGGGCGCTCTGCCTGGGTCAGGCCCATGCTGGGGCACTGAGGGGCACTGAGGGAGAGGCCAGGCAAGTGGCCGGGGAAGGACAAGGGGAGTGCCTATGACCAGAGACCCAGTGTGCACCCCTGCATCCTCTGGGCGGGAGAGTCCATCCTTCGTGACCAAACCCTGAGAAGGACACTCTGGCCAAGTGTCTGACATATTCCAGAGGGAGGTAGGTCAGCGCTGGCCACCGGACCTCTGCACTGGCACCAGAGCCTCATCCCTTCCCTACCACGGCCCACCTGTGCTGGGAGGGCAAGGTTTGTGCAGGCAGAGGAGGGCAGCGTGCAGTGCGTGGGTGGATGGGCTGTGTGGGCACATGCATGCGTGTGCATGCACAGGCACGTGGAGGGCCAGGGCAGGGCCGAGGCGCAGGTCAGCAGAGTGACTGGCCAGGCTGAGGTATGTCTATGCACGAGCTTCTGGTTTCCCTTTCTCTTCCTGGACAGGACTGAGTGGGGCCCTGAGCCCAGGAGTCACAGTGGCAGCGTTCTGAACACTGAAGGTGCCTGGCTAAGATGGCCTGTGCAAGTGGCACCCTGTCTACTGGCAGGAGTAGCCTGCACCAGCCCTGGCATCTCCACTCCCACACCATGGCCATGGGCTCCAGCAGGTAGCGGGGCCCACGGCACACATGGAAGGGTAGGGGCAGCGGCATGGTCAAGGACATCCTGGGACTGGTGCAGTTTCTGGCCCTGCGGGCAAGTGCAGGCCTCTCCGTCCCACCCTACTGCCTCGGGGATCCCTGAGTCACTCTACCTGCTTCTGCCTTCCAGGGGGCAAGGGCAGGGCCAAGGGGCTGGCCACCAACTGCGCCTGGCTGAGGTGATCCGCTCTTATTTCTTATTTCTTTGGTGCTACAACAGCAACAACAAAAATTTAAAAATAAAAAACAAATAAAAAACAAAAGTCAGCAAAACACATATAAAAAAGATTTCAGAGATGCAAATACTTCCTGAAGACTCAAACATCAACAATTACAAATCTGAGGTATTTCAATGACCTGATATCGGCACATCTGGAGCTGGTGGGGCGGAGAGGGCCCCCAGAGATGGCAACAGGACAGGGACAAGGGAGCTACAGTGAGAATGGCCAACAAGGGCAACTGGGGAGCCTGAGGTAAGGGAGGGTTGCATGGGGTCCTGGGAGGGAGCTACTAGGGCCCAGGCAGCCCGAGCTTTCCTCCTTCCTGGCAGATGCCCAGAGGCCTGGGCCTGAAGCCTGCTCTCATGTGATTTCACGTTTCTCCCACCTGAGGGGGGCATGAAGCCCCAAGGTCTGATGCCAGGCTTGGATTTGAGGGACCCAGGCTCTGGCAACCAAGACCAGACAGGTGGGCTGGGAAGGCCAGGCCTACACTCAGCAGCTGAGAGCCACAAAGGCAGGCACTTGGCCTCAGCAGCCACACAGGATTTAAAAATTGTTGGGGGCCAGGCAGAGGATGAGACCATGACAATGGGGTGATGACAGAAAGCAAAGGGAAATAAATTAAGGGGGAAGGAAGTGGAGGTGTCCAGCCCCGTGTCGGCTTACAGATTGTCGATACACTGTGCCCCCGGAGTAGAAGGTGGGCGGGGACCCTGGAGGAAGTAGGGTACCCAGAACCCTGCCCAGGCCTCCAGGATGATCCCTGATTGGACAACGCTGCCCGGTCCTGCCCCGCCCACCTCTCCCTGCCCCCAGAGGACAGCAGGACCTGAATGGAGCCTGGACAGATGGACACACCCAGTCCCTGAACATTGGGCTCCATGAGACGAGGTAAATTCTGTGCGGCAGCTTCTGCCACTCCTGGCTGGAGGGCAGGGCAGAGGCAGCTGGGCGCTGCCGTCAGAGGGACCAGCTGGTGGAGGGCTCCGCACTGGGGGTGCCCCGGGACGAGGTAGGACTCTGTGAGCAGTGAGAGCCGCCACTGCTACTGCTGCCACCGGAGGTGCTGCCGACGACACTCTGGCCAGCAGGGCCTGTGATGAGGTGGACCACGGGTTTCTGGGCAAACAGCACGCCTAGGGGAATACACACAGCTCCATCACCAACAAGAACCCACTGCAGGCCTCCCCTGCATCCCTTGTGCCCTGCACCAGGTGGGATGCAGACAGAGGCCCTTGTACTCTGCTGGGATGCTGATGGCATAAACAGGTTGTGATAAACAGGCCCAGACCAGTGTGGTAGGATGCTGCAGGAGCACAGAGGGGTCCTAGAAGCAGGAAGGGTGCTCAGGGGCTGGAAAAAAGGCAGTAGCTGAGGGAAGTAGAAGCATTTCAGGGAGAGAAGACAAGAAGATATGAAGGTCTGGTCCCCAGCTCCTGCAGGAAGTCTGCAGGATGGTGCAGGCCTAGGGAAATGCCGTTTCCGAAGAAGGTACGGCTGCAGGCCTTCACACACCCTGCACTAGCCGCCTCCGCAGCTGGTGACATGCCATATCCTCAGAAAAACAAGCAGGTGACATCCGGGGCCCCACTCATGCAGGGGTGTTTGACAAGATTCAGACAGGCTGTCCCCATGCCCATCCCTAACCAGTGAAACAGCAGGAGAAAATGACTGCTGTTTCTATGAGTACTGAGTCAAACATCCTAGAAAGACTTGGTCAAGGTGCTAAATCAACTAACCAAGCAGGCTGATCAAGCAGAGCTCAGACTCTGCTGCTAGAGTCTCAGTCCTTAGTGCACTTTAAAGCCAGAAAGTGACAGACAATGCACTATGAGTGTTTTATGGTCAAAAAGGCGAGCCATGCATGGCAGACTCTGACTTATTGCACAGAGTCTAAGGGCATAGATACAGCACTGATTAAGACTCCTCACGCTGCTCAAAATGGTTACAGGAAGGGTTTCTGTCAGTGTAGAGGGCATTCATCATCCTGCTAAGAATCTGGAGGAAGCATCTCAGGTTCAGGGTTACCGAGGGATGGCACCATGGTCACCTAGAGCCTACCTGCATAGGTGGTGCCGTCGATGTCCACAGACATGTTAATGCTCCCAATGGTGCTTGGGGTTAGGTTCAGTGCAGCAGCCGAGGCCTCTCCTCTGTCTTCTAGTGGGGTGGGGAGAAAGTGGCCAAGTCAGGACTCCCACTGTGCTCTGGTACTGTTGGAGAGCAGCCATATGACCACCTCCTAAGCTCATGGGCTGGCAGAAACCTAGGCTCACCACATCCCCAATGCCCTCCTCTCCCAGTGAGCAGACTGGCCAGGCCCAACTGCAGGTACCAGCCCTGTCAATCAGGCTCACAAACCCTAACCAGGCCCGCTATGCATCAGCCTGGAAGCCAGGGAGCAACAGGCCAGTTCTGACTCTGAGGATGCAACCTGCACTACTGTTCCTTAGAGAGGGGACTTTGCCCCTAGCTCTTGGCCCTCCATGCCCACTTGGATGGCTGGCTCATGGCATCTCTGCCAGGCTCCGTCTTCTTACAACAGAGAGCCAAGGCTTCTTCCAGGTGAGCAGCCTTTCTCTTTAGCCTGGCTTTGTGCAGGACCAGCACACCTGTGCCCTCCCTAACTGGGTAAGCGGGGAGGAGCATGTCTGCTTCCTTCACACCCGCCTCCTTCAGCACTACTTTCTCAGCTTTGCAAAAATGGCAAAGGACAGGTGTGTGAGGGTTAAGCACGGGAGGAGAAATAAAGGAAATGCGAAGAGAAGTGGGCACTTGAAGTATGTGGGAGAGAAGGGAAAAGATGTCAGTTACGCTGCGAAATGTGTTTCCTACAACTATGTGTTCCCAAAGGTCTCTGGCACCTTGCTGCGCCTTGGGATGACAGGGTGTCACCCTCCTGGACCCAGCCACTGGGCCCTGTGTTGGTCTGCATCCAATGAGAACTGCAGTGCAGCCAAGCCCTTTGGTTTAGACAGATCAAAATGCTGCTGAGGAGGGAGCATAGCCTCTGGCTCCCCCGCACACTCCGAACCCATATGGCTCTCTCAGGGTCAGGAGTATGCACCTTGCCCATCCTGCCCCAGGTGTGGAGCTGGGGCTGCAGTGGCACACGCACCCCTGCCATTGATGCGTATCTTCACGGGTAGCTGCCGTGCCATGCTGAAGAGGTTACGCTGGAAGGCCTGCTGTACCAGGCGCTGCTCCTCCTCTGACAGCCTTGCCGCCTTCTTCTCGGCCGGCTCCCCTGACTCTAGGCGCTCCCGTAGCTGTTCCAGCGTGGCCATCCGGCTCCCTGCCTGTGGTCCTGCCAGAGCCATGGGCACAGCCAGGCGATTTGGCACGGGCACTGTGGCTGCAGGGACCCCATCACCTGCAAAGGAACTGAAGCTGGCCCATACTCACCCCTGCCACCCACAGCCCCATCTTACACAGGAGCACAGGGCTCTCCCCTCTCCCCAAGGGCCTGCTGACCTTTCCTGAGAGTGGCTGCCTGTGACAACCGAGGAGCACTAGCACCGGTGCTGCTGCTGGAGCCAAGCCCCAGGACTGGGAAGCGGATCCTGGGTGGCGAGAGAAGGGCAGGGGCCCCAGCAGTGGCAGTGGCAGTGGCAGGGGCAGTGGCAGGTGAGTAGCCAAAGAGCGAAGAGCTGTAGCTTGGCCGCCGGCCCTCCCTGCGGTTGCCATCAATGGCAGCCTGCAGCTCAGCTGGGGAGCTCAAGGCCTTCTTCTCACACTCATAGGCGTAGAGATACTTCATGTACCTGCAGGGAAGGAAGAAGCAAGGAAAACGACCCAAACCAACGGCATACACTTTGTACCCTTGAGAGATACAAAGTCCAAGCCTTCCTGGCCTCTTGACCTAGGAGCTCTGTCTTTTGTGTCATACGTCCCAAGAAGTCTCTCCAAGAAGCTTGCTACTCTGGTTACAGCTGTCTCTACTGTCTACCGGAAAAGTTCTAATAGGTAAAACCCTTCTTTGTTCAATAAGGCCATGCCATGCTCTCTGACTGATATGTCAGCTGTTCACTCCTTGTGTTTCAAAAGAAGAGATTCCTCTCTGGCTCTCATCTTCCACTGCTACTCTTGGTTTAGGCCAGCAACCCCATGGGGACTAAGTTCAGGCTGGGTGTGATGGGGTGGCCACCCGGGGCAGAAGTGCTCCTTGGCAGTGATGTCAGAGAGTGTGTGGATTTGAGATACACGGCTAAGAGGCCACGTGTGAATCTCTGCATGACCACTCAGGGGCTAGAATGGCCTTGGTCCAATTATTTAATCTTGGAGAATTAGTTTTGGTAATCTGAAAAATGGTACAATATCTCTTCCAGGCCTGACTAAGGTTTAGGGAAAAAGGAAAGGTAAAGAACAGGCACACAAGACATACCAGGTCAAGAGTGACTCTATTACCTGGTCTAGCAAAGCACTCATCTCATGAGCTCCCTGCTGGCTCAGGAATTCACTCCTCCAACTTACTGTATGCTGGAATTTCCTTCCTTCCTCCCTGCCTCAGGGATGAACTATTCCCTTTCCCCGGCTTCTCAGACTTCCTTCCCCAGCCCCGGCCACTCACTGGGTCCTGAGGGTGAAGGCGGCACTGGTGATGGAGGTGGGCAGGTTCAGGCCCTTGGTGATCTCCCTCCAGATCTTCTTGTTGATGATTTCCACCAGGCCTCCCTTCTCCGTCACCAGCTTGTACAGCATGTACAGGTCCAGAATCTGCTTGGCCATGATGGGGATACGGTTGATGGGGGTCCCTGTGATTGTCCAACGAGAAGGGGAGGGGCACATAAGACGTCCAGGCATGCTTACTGTTACCTGAATGGGAAACGGTGTTTGTGCATCTGCTTAGAAGTGGGATTCAACTCAAGCTCACCAAGCTTGGAAGCTACCTGACTAGTGTCAGTTCTCTACATCAAAGAAGACAGGGTCTTCCCAGGCTGTGTGACCTCAGGCAAGATGTTCAGCCTCTCTGGATCTGTTTTCTTATCTGGTAAATATGAGGGCCAGATGAGATGAATTCCAAGTGTTTTGTGTTTTTTGCTGGTAGTACATGTTGGGATTTTTTCCAGGATTTGGCAACTTCTACTCCTCTGGGAAACCTTTCTTGCCTTCCTGGTCAGGGAGCTCCCAGTAGCTGTCCACACAGTGTGTGTCTTCACCTGCGCCCTGCCCTTCTGCTGCAGGACAAAGACTCGGCTCCCTTCTCTCCTGTGTGCCTCACCACATCAATGGAGATGCTGGACACACACCACTCAGGGGAATGCAGAGGCACTCAACAGTTCTCTCCCCACTAATCACCCATCCCCTCCCTGGCCCCAGAAAGAGGGCGGGTCAGAGTAGCTTCCGCCTACTGGCCCTCGAGGGGAAGTGAGAGGAGCCAGGGACTTGATTAGGAAACCTGGCACCAGGCAGGAAGGGCTACTAATGAGCACCAAGGGATGCAGGGAGGGCGGGACCAGGTCCTTTCACGGTGGCTGGGATGCTCGTTCAGGAGGCGTGATGGATGACTGTCATTTGGCAGCCCCGGGATTAATGATCTGGAGGTCAGAGGGGAGAATTCCACAGGGAAGGGTCACCGTCCGGGGCAGGGTATGAGACTTGTTGCCTTTTGATGGCCAGCTCCTTTTACTGTACACAGGCTACTGCTGCTGCCCTCCCTCCCCTCCCTGCCCCCGCCGCACTGAGGTCCCACTGAGCTGTGCCTGGTGGTGTTCAGCCTGTTTGGCTTGTGGTCCTCTGCCCTCTCTTTTTTTTTTTCTTCCCCCTTCTCTCTTCTAAAGCACACATTTTCTTTGTTTATTTTTTCTTTTTAAACATGCATTTTCTTTTTTTTTTTTAAAGCACACATTTTCCTCCCTACCTGAAACAGGCTGCCGGCCCACTCTCTCACAGGACCATTCGGTCACAGGAGCAAGCGAAGGGCCAGCCTGTGTGCATAGACACATGGGACATTATAGCAGGACAGTGAGAACAACCAGGCTTGGGGACCTTTTTATTGACCAGCCAATGGACCTTACTCTGACCACAGAGAAAAAGCCTGAGGTGCTTGGCTTGGCCAATGGCAGGCAGGGCTAGTGGGCACCACTTCCTTTTGAAGGCCTGTGTGCGGGACACACACCCAGCTATGCTGACTCCTCCTTTCATGGCATCACTTGGAGGGCTGGGAGGATGTGCTGGAGGATCCATCACACGGGCTACTACTTGACTTCTCCAGCATCTGCACATGTGCTGTTCATCTGAACTGGATGTGCAATGCTGCCTTGTCTTCACTCCCACTTCTTCCTCCTTCATCTTCACTGTCCCCAGTGACTGGGCTCGGCTTCTGGGCTCTGCTTCTGCCCCTTAGCACCTAATCCCAGGCACTGAGGGCTCCAGTGATTCTCCCTGGAGGCCCCTCTTGAGGGTAATGTCCTTTCTGGATCACCACCAGGTTAGGCCCTTACTGGTTACTGGTTCACCATTAGATGGGTGGAGTGGCCTGTAGCCACACACTTGCTTCGCACACTACTGCCACAAACTTATTAAAATGCTGCTTCAACCACATCACCCACTTCCTTGTTTAAAAACCTCTAATGACACTCACTGCTCCCCACCCACGCCACACATCCAGTCATATGACCCATGTCCCCCATGCTGCTCACCAGGCCATACACGAAACACTTAAACACATCCCACCAACTTCTGTCACGCCTTCTTACCAAGCCCTCCTACCATGCTTGATCTGCCTCTGTGACCTGGCCCCTCTCGGGCTGGAAACCACCTGCCTCCCCACTCAAATGCCCCACTCTCCTTCCCTGTCCACTCCCTCAAGGGAGAACTCTCCAACTACTCCAGTTTCCTCCCTCTCAGAATTTCTAGGACTCTCCAATATGGGCCACAAATCATTCCTCTCTAAATGTTTCCTGTGTGTCCACGTGGCACCCTAGGAGGACAGTCAGCTCTGTGAAGCAGGGACTGTCTGTCCTTTACCAGCCTCCAATGTTATGGTGGCTAATATTAAACAGGCCTCCCATGCAGACTAAAAACCATGCTGCTCAGAGTGAGAGCACCGGTTCCAAGGGAGCCTACCTGGGAACCTTCCTGACAGTATCCATGTTTGTGAGGACTACACTGACAGCGCTGACCAGAAGTCAGGTCCTCTCTCAGGTTCTAATGGGTCACAGTCACCATGAAATAGCTGGGGGCGCTGAGGCCCAGTGTGTTTTGGCTGTTTGCTTTCAAGTCCCAGAGCAAGAAAACCAGCAACAGGAGAACAGATAGTTTTGGAATTTTGAGAAAGTTAAAGATCTAGGACTCCACAGTGCAGGGCCTCAGGGAAGGAAAACAGGTGCCAGTGTGGAGGTGGCTGAGTGTGAGCACCTAGGACAGCTGTGGCACAGCAGGGCTCACCTAACTAACCAAGCACGGTCTTTAAGGAGGTCACCCTGGACAGCCAGATACCACTTGGCTACAGAACTGCACCTGCAAGCAGCTTTCAGACTGCACTGTTTCCTGCTGATCTCTTCAAGGGCAGTAAATCTTGAGACACAGACAACGCGTTACACTACTGGAAACAGCCATCATTCATCCAAAGGCAGCCAACATATAGGATAGATGGGCAGGCTGCATACACTGGGTTTTACCAAAAGATGCAGTGTGGACATATACTATGGCAGATTTCCAGAGTGGTCTGCTCCTAAGGAAGGAGCTCCCCGCGTGTCCATCTTGAGCAGTCACTGCACTAACCGTCTAGCCATTTGAGATGGTGGTTTTGAAGGGTGACACTGTTACCAATGCAGAAATTTTATTACAAGTCTGTCTTAACAGCCACAGTGATTCAGGAGCCTGAGAAAGCCTAGGGAAGGGAAGCAAGAGTGGGCATAGGATCGGAGGAGTTGACAGTTCAGAACAGTATTTGAGGTCAAGGCTGTCAGCAGTGGATGGCCTATCTCAACCAGGTGAGAGGAAGAACAGTCACTTCCGGAAACTCCCAGAGGAGCCAGGTAACAGAAAGGTTGTGGCACCGTGGGTGTTCCACAGTCCTGCTTTCCTGTACCCAACAGTGTACCCTCCCTGCACGGCCCCCTCTATAGAACAACCTGGTTCTGGAGACTAAGTCAGTAACGGACCAGCGCTGTGTCCCGCAGCTGGCCCTCTTTCACAGCATTAGAGAGGTTCATTGTTGGAGACAGAGCTGAGGCCGTCCTGAGGGTTGTTTTGGGTGAGCATGTGCAGCCAGATGCTGCGGGTACAAACACCTGCTTGGCTTCAATTCTGACCACTGAGAAAGACAACTGCAACCTTAGCAGCTTTGTGCTGGTGGCCATGGAAGCCACTGTGCTTGTCCAGAGGAGATTCTATGAAGAAAGACGGGAAGGTCTTTAAGTTAAGGTTGCCAATACATACTACTGGGGGCTGGGCATGGGGGACCAACACTTCCAGCCTCAGTTTCCTCATCTGTGAAATGAGAAATATGCGCTAGATGACTTTCAGTTCTCAAGTCTTAGAAGTCTATGAATAAAAAATCAAGACAAAAATTTTATTTGTGATTATTCCCAAAGGGAGGGTGACTTATTTTATGGAGCCTGCCTGAATTGGGAACTCTTGTAATGAGCAATTTGGACTCTTCTCCAGGGAAGGACCCCTAATGCACTTAAGGTGAGGTCAGTGAAGTTCACGTCCACAAGCACTGGTTCCTTTCAGCCCTTCAGAGAAAGGGACGGGGACTCTGTCTGCTCTCTAAGTGGAACTACAGCCTTCTCTGGGCGGTTCCTCACCCACAGTAGCAATCCTGTGCCCACAATCAATGCAAAGGCTGCCTGCGGTGCGGCTGGACACCCACTGGAGAGAGCTCTGTGGGTCACTGGTGTGGCCCTGCAGGAGGCTGTATCTCCACCATGACAAGCCTGGGGGGCACCTGGTGGGGAAGCCTGCAGACTGTCAGTCACTGCTATCAAAGCAGGAGCTAGGATTGAGGGTAATTAATCATGCTCTCCCTGACAGGAACCCAGGGCCTTATCTGCACCCCAAGAAATTCTGCTGGTCTCCAGTTCCCTCCTCAATAAAGGAGACTGACAGTTGCAACAAAGAGGCCCCTTATCAGATTTCAGCCAGGGAGCCCGAGCCAGCCCCAGGGACGGAAGTCAAAGGCTTTTATGAGGCCCCAGGACCCAGCAAAGCCTCCAGGATGCTGGGCTTTAACCCTTGTTGGTGGGCATGGGCACTCACAGGCCAGTGCTGCCCTCAGGAGCTTCCAGTGCAGATATGGCAGAACACCAGCTGCTTCCTGGCATCCTGCCTTCCTGCCTTCCACTCAAGATAATATAGCTGTAATTGGGGGGTGGGGACAAAGGCAAGAGGAGAGGACGCTGCCTCTGGCTTGAGACGGCAAGAGTGCTGAAGGGCAAGCCACTTCCTTTCTATTGCAGAGAATGGGCATGTTCCAGGGAAGGCCAGGAGCAATTAGAGGCAGGGCCCCAGACAGCTCGTGAAGGCTGCCTTCCTGCCTACTGGTCAGGGGTGAGGGCCCAGGACCCAGGGCGTGGCCCTGCCAGGCACCCTCACTGCTTTTTCCTGACTTTGAAAAAGGTGATTAATCATGCTCATAGCCTGACTGTCAAGAGAGCTGTGTAGGGAGCCTAGGAGAGTTTAGGTCCATGTTAGGCAGGCAGGCCAGCCAGCCTACTGACCATTCTACAGATTCGTTTTCACCTTGTTCTGGTTCTGTTCCCCAGGAGCAAACAGGAAAATGATAACTTCTCCCCTGCCTTGCTCA